TTTTTTGGAAATGGTACTTCCGAGTCTAAAGCATTTTTATTCTGTTATCAGAAACTTATGAACATAAACACGAAAAGGTATAGTCACAAGTGGTATATACATTAGAATTAAAAATATTGCTAACTTAATGTTAGAGTGTACATGTGCGTATGTATAGGTCTTCTATTCATACTCACACACAACTGGAGAGGCTTCCTCGTCAGTCATACAGCGCGTTCCTCAAAAGTTGTGTCATCAATGCGAATAATTACATTATACTGTTGCATCTGCACATGTTTGTTAGATTCTTCTTGTCACAATGGTTCGATCTGTATATGATAATGATCTGAAAAAAAATATTAATTTCGAAATTTTATTATGTCAAGAAAATTTGGAATATTCATGAGCTTAGAAAATTGTATTTGTTCCTAACCGATAAAACTGACAGTTGGTAAAATACTTAACTTGTGCATAACACATGAAACGCTATCGAATGTGAAACTCAAATATTCTCCATATTTACTTTTATTTTTCTTCGGTTTTTTTTCTTCAAACGGTACAATATTAGCGCAATCTACCGACATACACTTTTATGTCGAGTATTCTTTTTTTTCCTTTAATGAGAAAAAGAAAATGATTTTCATCAAGACAACGCTCCTAGTCATGTTTCGAAAAGAACAATTGCTTTTTTGGGTGCATCAAGAATTAATTATGTTAAACCAGAAGAATGAATGTCCAAGTCACCAGATGTAGCTCCTATGAATTATTCAATCCGGGAGTACTTGAAACAACAGCTGAACAAACAAAAAATTGAAACGCTGGATGAACCGAAAAGAAAATTTCATATTAGTGGAAAAAGTTGGATCGAATTTATATTGACAAAGTTTTAGCGAATTGACAAAAACGAATATATCTTATACTTAAGGCTCGTGACTTTCATATAGAATATCGTTTGAAATTGTAATGTTCTTTTTTGTTTTATATTAATGAAAATAAAACTAGTAAAAATAGGTGAATCATCCTGTATGGAGTGGCGTAAAAGTCACTCTGCCCAAAAAAAA